GGAGGAGGGGGGGTGGCAGGGCGGCGGGAGGTGCACCCCAGGCCCCTCGGGGGAGCCGAGAGCGAGCGAGCGAGCGAGCGACAGGTGTCCACAAATAATGGCGTGGTTTAAAAATGCATCGTGTTTCTGCGCTGTTAGTAATTTCAAAATAATCGGGATTTTGCGTTAGCGTCAAGCACGCTGTTTTTTCCACGCTGCGTTTGAACGCCAGCTATGGTCCGGTCTCTCTGTCGGTCGTCACGCCATTTGCACGTGAGTCAACGCGGCACGAAGAGTGGTCCCTGACCGGCAGACACCGGTGACAGATCTCATTGCACACACGCGGGTCTTCTCCAGCCCAAAGGCTTCTAAGAACACCCGCAAAAGCTCCCTTCGAGAGCCGAGCAGCTGGGGCGCGCTCAGGTGCTCAGTTGCTGCAGCTGTTATCCCGGCTACAGGCAGTCCTGCGCCTACCCCAGCTGAGAAACACACGGAAATTTTCCTGACAAGGTTACTCGGACTGTAAATCCCCGGTGATGGAGGCTGCCAAGTACAGCTTCGGTCCTCTGTTCACTAAGCCTGTGCCGGCGCGATGCCCCTTGCTGCGCAGGTGGCCAAGGGGCACTGGAGAGGGGGCCTGGCTTCTGCGGCGAGGGCAGCCCAGGAGCCGGGAAGCACCGCTGCGGCGGGCAGCGGGGATCACTCCTTCCACCCTACGAAATAACCAGAAATCGCGCGCTGCCGCGTCTCTCCTGACGGCTGTAGTGCTTTGCCAAAGAATGGGTTACAAAATCCTGTCGTCTTGAATTCTACCAAAGACGTTTTGATATGCTGAACATTAAGGCAGTCAAGTTTACCACCAAATCCTCTGTAAAATGACAAACGAAAAGATAAAGTATAATAAAGTCTTGTAATAATTATACAGAACCATAAATTGTTCTTGTTATCCTGGTGATGATTTTTGAGTATCATTTGGTTACACGGATTTCAAATTGAGACAGTTAAACTTTAAAGCAAAAATTCATTAACTAGCAAGATGGAGTTACAGCATATTAACTGGATTCTTAGTTACGTCTACTTGAATTTTCTTCTTTAAAAAAGAAAAACAAGCCCTAAAATGCTTACACGTTTCCTGTTTCAAATCAGCTGCTCCCAAGTTTGCTGATAGGACATAATGGGTGATCTTTTAACTTACTGCTCACATTACAATACCTGAGATCAAAGGACCGTTGCAAAGCCCCTCTCAGACACAAGTCATTCTAGCTATGAATCCAGGAAGGACATCTACCACTTTTGAGTAGTGAAGGTAAAAAAAAAAAACTTTGGAAGGACAACACGGTAGTTTTCCTCTTTGTATATCAAATCAACAAATTTGAATGAACACAATGAAGAATCGATTAGTCAGAGGAGCCAAAAAAATAATAGTCAAAGGAATTTTACTCTTTTTTAAGCAAAAATTCAGGACATACCTATCAAATGTCCAGAAAATGGGTGCGTTATCTGGTTAGATGTGGAGAGAATCAGATGGCTTCAAAGGTTTTTTGTGTAACGTGAACATCTAATTATCAAGTTATGGTTCAGGAGCTGATGTATCTCTATAGGAGACATCTGTATAGCAATATACATGGTAGAAGAGGTCAGGAAGCCATTTATATTTTGAGTGACTGAAGAGCTGTTCGAATTATTAGGACACAGAATGTCGCGGAAAGTAGAGTGTGGGCAGCAACCAAACAACAGTTACCGTAAGCTATGTCTGATTAAGGTAAAACGAGATGGGAGTGTTAAAACAGTGCACTGTCACGTTCTAAGCAGATTTAATTTGTAGAGCACCTTAAAGACCTCCATGTAGAGTGTTAAGCTGAATTATATAGTGTTGCAGTGTGCTGTTTGTTTTATATTATAGAAAGGGATCTATTCTACCGGCATTGTGACAAAGTTCTGTGAAATTAATGTCTATGAGTACGGGGAGAGAAGTATTGCACAGTCTGCGAACGTCACTCCCATTATTAAATATTGCCACTGGTGTCCACGTACCACTGCAGGGCAAGCTGATGCCTGCAGTGTTAATAAGGTGCCTGTGTAACAATCGTTTCTTAGGATTAGCCTTTCGAAGTATTGCGTTAGCCTAGAAGACTTACGTATAATGTAATGTAATGTAATACATTTCCCAGGTAGGGATGCATAGACTAGCTTAAGCACGAGACTGGATAAGGACGTACATTTCCCACGTCTACATTATGTGTTACAAAGCAGTATTACATGTGACCAGGATGCAGAGGACAAAAAAGGCCGAGGCAGGAAATCTATATTCCCGAGTTTGTTGTTTCAGGCAAGGCCAACGCAAGCAATGCATTTGTCGTCACTGACTCTAAACCATCATGAAGCGCTATCACTAACCCGTCTGCTTGCCGTGGGTAAGGCCAGCTTTCCCAGCAGACTACTGTAGCAGCATTTTATACCAGGTCGTGTACTGTTTGCCCCTCGAAATGTTTCAAACAAATCTGAATCAACGGAGTGAACTGTAACGGATCATCTCTTTGCTTACGTGGCCACTGCATTTTTTGACCCATTCTTAGTAATTGTAAGATTGGATGTATTGTGTTTTCCAAGCACAATCTAAGTAGAGTAGCAGAGATGGGAAACAGCATCTAGTAAGCACAGGAAGGCTTCCTTAACTGTATGTCAGTTAATTTGACACTATTCAATAAATATTTATAGATAAGGAATGGCAGGAAACAAAGGGCCATTTTTTGCAATGTAATTTGAAAAGAGAGGTAGTTGCTTCCTGAAGACATTTTGGGAAGCTCTCCTTCAAACGACGATTTCTAGCCTGTGCAATGCCAAGTCATTAGGCCTTGTGTGTGAGTCAACCCATGACTCCAGTGACTGACAGGTATCCTGTTGCCTAGCGCTGTGTCTCCCTCTCTAAAGCACCCCACCGGCAGGGAGCACTTCTGTAACTCAGCAGCCCAGATTCTTGAAAGAGTTGCAGAAGTAGAAGTAAAACTCCAAGTAAATGCCAAGCATGTTCTATTTTATGTAGAAGTGAAATGAAGTACTGTATCTGATTTTATGTTTGCTGCTTCACGTCTAGAGAATGTGCAAAAGCTTGTGTGTTTTTTCCAGTTTTAGGATATTGAGCTAATAAAAGGTATTTTTTTGTCTCTGCTATTTTAGCTTCTTGTAGCTTCGTTTTCAGCTCTGTAATTTATTGCTTAGCCTTTTATTTTGAAAGAATAAACTTTTTTTTGCCAAGGTCATACAGATGACAATGAAAGCCATGCTGGGTGCCTGTACCTCAGAGAACAGGGAGGTACCTGGGAGAGCCTTGAAATTCTTGCCATCCAACTTGCTGCTCCTGAAAAGCTGCAATGTCTTGCTTCCCTGAGCTGCAAGAGTTGGTAGCACCATCATATGTTAAAGGAAGCGTCTTTTGGCAAGCACCAGTGACAAACTTCTGCAAGAAAAAGGAAGTGGAAATGGCTCTGTAAAGATGCATGAGACTACAGGCAAACTCCTGGCTGCACTAAATGGCAACTTGCCACTAAATAATCATAGTATTCATACTACATAGTAAAATGCATAGCACTGCCACTTGTGAGTTGTGTATTGGTTTATTTGTCTTTTAGACTTGTATTAAGACAACAGAGAGTACGTAAAGACAACTGAGAGGACAGCAAACTGTTTCCAATGAAGCTCTCGTGAGGTGGATGAGCATTCTTCTATTTAAAGAGATCCTTTTCCTGTGGAATTCAAATGATTAATTGTAATATAGGTGCTATTTCTGGAGGAGGAAAGCCATGGGATTTTGATTTCTTTCTGTAATAATTGCAGTAACAAAAACAATTTATCAAAGTATTTTTTTTCTCTTCACAGTAGTGAAGGTCCCTGTTATATCTTGGTTCAAGTATAATTATTCTTGCGAACATCCAGGAGCAGTGGTACAAAGGAAAACATAGAGAGATTTGGATTTTAATGCTGCGTGTGTTTTTATAGACTTTTGTGTTCCCCCTAATTTACAGAACGGTGTTGGAGGCTTAGAGGGCTCCAAGTGTTCTTCCAAGTATTTGCACAAAGCTGAAGGAGGTAGACTGCACAGAAATTTGGTATTACATAGTAGCATGTTCATCTGGAAGACTAATTTTCCTTAGTGCTAGTACTTTAAATTGTCTTCTAAAATCCAGTCTGCTTTGAATAAATGCTTCTGAAAACTGACTTTTGCCTCAGCATTTTCTGTCTCAGGAGCTAGTTTAAATGGAGACTTCCATATGGAAAATCACTAATATTTCTAGGCAGGTAGCTTACTTTGCTGTTTTTGATAGCTAATAGAATGGGAACAAAGTGAATTATGTAATCTAAAAATGTCATTTTCTTTAGGACTAGGAAGCCTAGCAAGAACTGTAGGTGCATTGACAATGAGAAGTTATTTTTTCCAGAGCCACTTAAAGACTGCATGCATCTATCTATGGAAGTGAAGAGTAATGTATTCCTCCACTTCGCAAGGAAATTAAAATGTAAAAGCTGTTTTTTAACGACATGCGAGACCCCGACAGTGCTTTCCGTACCCACTTGGAATAGGTTTCTCTTAACGGGGAAAACATAAAAATCTTTAGAGCTGATGGGGGAAAGAGAAGAATAAAAAGAGAGCTGTAATATCCTTTTGCACATCCGCTAGAGAGCACTTCACTGGGTATGGGGAGACCATTAAGAACTGCTCGTATGTTTTCAGCTGCTTCCTCTGTTATCATGTAGGTGGCCTTGTCTGTTTTGATGCCAAGGTGAGGCGTTATAATGACGTTCTTTAATTTTAACAATGTATGATCTCTGGAAGAAAGGAAAAAAGAGATAGTTAAGTTACCTACTGTTGTTCGTCCAAATACAGAGTAGTCCTACTTTGGCTTTTGCACTGTATTTAAATATAATTTAATATAACTTTACAAGTCCCACTTACATCCAGAGAACCTGATCACCTGTGTTCAAGTAATTTTGGACATTAAAAGGACATGTTAAGAGTTTGTACTGTGCTCTTTTGTCCAGAAACAGACTTTTGCCATTGGGCAGCAATTTGAGCTATGTCAGAAGAGAGGATTAAGCCCTCCTGACACATTAACCCTACAAAATGGTCTGAGCTGTAGTTATGCAACTCAGATAATGGACAGTGATGTCCTGGCACACAGACTTAACAAGACCAAACTCCCCCCAAACCAAAATGCAGCCGGCACAGTTAATTCCATGAGGCACCATTCTGGTAGAGGTGTGATTTTACAGAAGCTAAGTAGCCTCTGGGCCCAGGAGATCTGCAGTACTTCAGCCTTGTATTGGGAAAACAAGCCTGCAGGGAGGGAAACCTCGGGGCAATGCAGCAGGTCTAAGAAGGGATGACTCGAGCAGCTTCCACCCATTCACGGCAAGTTGCACCTTCAGATAAAGCAATTTGTAAGTGAAGCACTGCTGCTGCTTCCTATGGTGATTCTGTGGAGGGGGTGTAACGCTCCCCATGGCACCCAAGCCCCCTCCTGCTGTTTCCTGGTGCCCAGGCTTCCCTTTGGCCTGTTATCAGACCCAACATCTGGGCTGCATCCCATTTGTATTTATGGCGCTTTTACACAAACCGGGCCAGGGGCGGGTGGGGCAGCCTCTGCCAGCCCCCTGCCTGCTGCAGGCATGCCTCCTGTCTCCTGCAGGGCTCACCCGTCCTTTCCGAGAAATAAGCAGAGGTGGCAACCTGGGCAGTGGTTCGGGGTAGGTGACGTCCAAAGCTGCGGCCCTTGAGAACACCAGTCTGCAGAGCTGTCGCCAGGTCTCTTGGTCAACTGCTGCACCTGGTTTGGAATAAGAGTGTCTCTGAGTGCCATTTGCAGGGAATGATCTGAGAGTGAAAAGAGAATAGAAGTGAAGAGAGAGGAATTTTCGCCCTGCCTGATCTGTCCTTGGTGTATGCACCAGCTGTGTGGCAGATGCAGCACGGTGCCGCATGTAACACAACAGGAGCTGGCTCATACTTTCTCATCAGGACAGTCAATGGTTCTGGATGGTACCTTGGCTGATGTTAATGAGAGTAGCTGTGGGTTTCATCAGCTCTGCTTCTCTTCTCCCAATCAGCTTGTGTGCCTGAGGTGTCAGGCTCACCACCACCATCACAAAATCTGCCTGCTGGAGCAAGCTGTCTGTCTTTCTGCAAAGTGGTGCCAACAGCTTGCTCCTCTTCCTCTTTCCTGGTGGGGAAAAAAAGGATCACACTGTATTTCAGGGTATCAGTCATGAAAATATTTTCTTCAATGATGTGACTGGTATACAAACTAAAGGATCTGATTATCATCACATTCATGTAGCAAACAGGTGGCAAACAAAGGTGAATTTACTCTCAGCTGGCTGTTTAGGCCCTTCTGGGAGGCTTCAAGCCCTACAGCAGGGGATGGATGCCTGCCTCTCAGCCATTGCAGTGCAGGGTCCAGGGGCTTCTTTTGAAGTCTGCAAGTGGAATAAGGCTAAGCAGTGGAACAGATGGCAACACATGGTCCACTCTCCAGGATCTCCTGTGGGTACAGTGCACCCCACAGGATTCAGTAATTGCTTAAACCAGAGTAGTGGTATTCACCAGAACTCATCTGTGTGAGCCCTGAGCATGCTGGTGGTCCTCATCCTGTTGGCATCCTCCAGTGAGCCTGGCATTTTCTGATGAGTGGAATCAGCAAGGCAGCTCTTTGATCATGGGTTGGTTTACAGGACACCAGGCCTGCTGGCGACAGACAAGGCACACCTGTCTCAAAAGGGAAAAAGGATCTTTGCACAGGAGTTAGCAGGGCTCATTCATTGAAAGAGCTTTAAACTAGATTTGAAGGGGGGAAGGGGTAAAACCAGGCTTGCTAGAGATAAGCCTGGGGGCAGCAATCCAAGGTTTGAGGGAAGGAGTGCTAGTGAGGTCCTTCAGTCTGCCATCTCAGTGGAGGTAGGGGATGGAGATCCATGTGGCAGCAAAGACGCAAGGGTTATGGATGTGTTAGAAACCATGGAAGTGCCTGAGAATGGTCACGAGTTAGAGCTTCTCCCTCCAAAAAGGTGGCAGGATCAATAGCCCAACTGAAGTGCATCTACACCAATGCATACAGCATGGGCAACAAATAGGAGGAGCTGGAAGCCATTGTGCACTATATAGCTGGGTGAAAAACTGGCTGGATGGCTGGGCCCAAAGCGTGGTGGTGAATGGAGTTAAATCCAGTTGGAGACTCGTCACAAGTGGTGTTGCCCAGGGCTCAGTGTTGGGGCCAGTCCTGTTCAATATCTTCATTGATGATCTGGATGAGGGGATTGAGCGCACCCTCAGTAAGTTTGCAAGTTGGGTGGAAGTGTTGATCTGCTGGAGGGTAGGAAGACTCTACAGATGGACCTGGACAGGCTGGATCGATGGGCCAAGGCCAGCTGTATGAGGTTCACCAAGGCTCAGTGCCAGGTCCTGCACTTGGGTCACAACAACCCCATGCAACGCTACAGGCTGGGGGAGGAGTGGCTGGAGAGCTGCTTGGTAGAAAAGGACCTGGGGGTGTTGGTTGACAGCTGGCTGAATATGAGCCAGCAGTGTGCTCAGGTGGCCAAAAAGGCCAACAGCATCCTGCCTTGTATCAGGAATAGTGTGGCCAGCAGGACTGGGGAAGTGATCGTCCCCCTGTACTGGGCACTGGTGAGGCTGCACCTCGAGTACTGTGTTCAGTTTTGGGCCCCTCACTACAAGAAGGATGTTAAGATGCTGGAGCATGTCCAGAGGAGGGCAACGAAGCTGGTGAAGGGTCTAGAGCACAAGTCTTATGAGGAGCGGCTGAGGGAACTGGGGTTGTTTAGCCTGGAGAAGAGGAGGCTGAGGGGAGACGTTCTCCAACTACCTGCAAGGAGTTTGTAGCGAGGTGGGGGTCGGTCTCTTCTCCCAAGTAACAAGCAATAGGACAAGAGGAAATGGCCTCAAGTTGTGCCAGGGGAGGTTTTGGTTGGATATTAGGAAATACCTCTTCACGGAAAGGGTAGTCAGGCACTGGAACAGGCTGCCCAGGGAAGTGGTTGAGTCCCCATCCCTGGAGGTATTTAAAAAGACCTGTCGATGTGGTGCTTAGGGACATGGTTTAGTGGTGGACTTGGCAGTGTTAGGTTAAGGTTGGACTCAATGACCTTAAAGGTCTTTTCCAACCTAAATGATTCTATTCTATTCTATTCTGTTCTATTCTATTCTATTCTATTCTATTCTATTCTATTCTATTCTTTGGCAGGCCTCCAGAACTTTCACAAAATAGTGTTCAACACAAAAAGTTACCAAAGGAGAGAGAGATTTTTAGTTTGAACTTTTCACAATAAAAAAGGATACTTGCCATTTCTCCCGTTCTTTGTAAATTTAGCTGCCTGAACTTTGGGAACTAAAGAAGCAATGATAAGAGATTGTGTGTACAATCTTCTGCTCCTGATTGCAAGAGAATGGCTCTGAATTACCTCCTCCCTAATCTAGAAATGAAGAAAGAAATCACACTAAGAAAATAACTTCAGTGTAACTTTGGACCATGTGTCTCCTAACGCATGCATTTCATTATTTTTTTTCAGTGTCCAGGTCAACAATCAAAGATTAAGTGGATAAAGAACAGACTGGAACTAGAGCCAGTTTTTCAGCATGCAGAGTGCATCTTGCTTCAGCTCATAAGCTTGAAGTGTAAATGTACTTTAAAATAAGCAGGTTTTTAATTTCTGTTGCACTATGCATTGATTATTCATCACATCACTCTTACATTAAATTACTTTAAAGACTGAAAATTACTGAACAGGGAGTCAGTGATGACCTACAGGAAAACAAAAGGATTTGTGCCTTATTTTCTCTTTTTTGTGGTTTATGAAGAAATTCTGAAGATCTTAAGGAGGGTGTTCACTAGTACTTTTTTTAATGTGAGTTTGCTCAGCTGTTTTTATAATTTCTGAAGTAACAGGAA